TTTCATGCTCTCTAGGATTTGGGGGTGTTCTCTGTGGACTCAACTTTCCTGTCTCTTTTGTTGTGGATCTGGGGTATGGGAAGTATCTTGAGGAAGGTCTTGTTGAAAATACTTGGAAGGAGTAAATGTTTCCACTCTTAAGTCTTGGAACTGACTGAGGAATTTGTGAGGAGTACTGCAAAGTACAACTTGAGGTAGCTCTCAGGCTTTTTGAGTGAAGGTAAATGTGAGTAACCCTACCCTTGCAGTGGGGCTGATCTGAGTGCTGCCATTGCCTGTTTCTGGGATGCAGTTATCTGGAAATGGGTTGTCTCAGTACCCAGGAAGTAGCTGTCCTGAGGACTGGCAAAGAATCTTTGAACTTGACACTGCAAAGCTCGTGTTGGTGTTACTTGTGTAACCTCTACACCTAGGGGTAGGTCCTTCTGTCCAGCAATAGCCCATACACCCAAAAGCTTTCTGTGCCCTTATGGGGAAGCTGGGAAGGTGAGCAGGGTAGGTGATCGCAGGGTGTCTGAATTGTAAACGTGGCTAGAACAGGACAAACCTATAGGTCATGTGAATATCGCCTGTGTTTTCCTCAGGTTATCCCTGTGTGACCTTGCGGGGTCAGAGCGCTGCAAAGACCAGAAAAGTGGGGACCGAATGAAAGAAGCAAACAACATCAATACCTCCCTCCACACACTGGGTCGCTGCATTGCTGCCCTGCGCCAGAACCAGCAGTCCAAGTGAGTATCCAGAACTCCATAGGGAGCATGTGGGCAGGCTGTTTTGCTTTTCCATGGGCTCACTCTTGTCTCTCCCCATAGATTGAAGCAGACTGTGGTTCCCTTCCGGGATAGCAAGCTAACCCGTGTGTTCCAGGGTTTCTTCACTGGACGTGGGCGCTCTTGCATGATTGTCAACATCAACCAGTGTGCATCTACATATGATGAAACTCTGTACGTAGCCAAGTTCTCAGCCATTGCCAGCCAGGTAAGTAGCACACACCAGGATCGTGGCATGGTCAGGATACATCCTGCTTCTGTGGGAATGGGCCCCTTTCTATCACAAGGCAGAGGGGATGCTTGCAAGTCTTCCCTGCGCTTCTCCAGTGGATTATTACCTTTACAGTATTTCCAGATTCTGCTAAACTGTGAAAGGGTTGACAGGTTGCAGAGAAGTGCCGTGTTTAAAGACTATGCAACTTCCAGGCTTTGTGGACTAGTAATGATGGCCTTTTCCCCTTCAGCTTGTTCAGGCACCTCCCACAAAGCTGGGACTTCCATCCATACAATCAATCATCAAAGAGCACAACAGGCGAACCAGCCAGGGTCAGGAGGCAGCGGCAAAGGAAGAAGTGGAATCAGAAGAAGACAGTGAGGATGAAGCAGATGTCTCCATGTATGAGAAGGAGGTGGGTTGTGATTTGTTTTACAGCCTCTATGGATAGAGGGGCAAGAACATGACTGTTAGCTTTGGCCTGGGAGGTGGGCCTGGAGCTCGGCATTATACCAAGAGATGACAGAGAACCTCAGAAGGATATGGGACCTGGGAAATTGGGAATCCATGAGGAAAACATTCCACTGTGGAACAGGGGCAGTAAGAGCTTGGGTGCAGACCTATAATCCCTACTCTACAAGGGAAATCTAGAGATCAGAAAATATGCAAAACAGATGGCTAAATCGAGGAAAAATAATCAAACTTCCTAGATATTCAAAGCGGGCAGCTGGAATAGCTGAAAGATCAAGATGGAAGTCATTTACCTACAGAGACTTGAGTTTTAAATGTGTCAAGGTAGCAAATGCAGGTGCAGCCCTGGGCAGTGCAGTAGGAGAAGCTGCTCTGGAGAAAGCTCCATCTGGAGTGCGGTGGTGTTTAAGCCATCTCATGGGAGACGAATTAAGAGCAAACCTGGCAACTTCCCTTTCCAAGTGACTGAAAGAATCTTCAACCTAGATCACCCCAGTCTACAGATATGGCTTCACCTAGTTTATTCTAGGTCTTAATTCTGATGTGCAGTGTGGGCAATGGAGTTTGTGTCCTTCTTGCAGGACTTGTTGCGTGTAGTTGAAGCTGCACGAGGACTGCTGGTGCAAGAGCGGCAGGAGAAGCTGCAACTAGAAATGCGCCTCCGTGAGGAGATCTGCAATGAGATGCTGGAGCACATGCAACAGAAGGAGCAATGGTGCAGGTATAGCTTGTGCTGATCTCCCTTCCTTTGTTCAGGGTGAGCTACAGTACCAAGAACTGCCAGACCGTGACGTGTAGTTGTTTACTCTTTGTAGCCAACATGTGGATGCTCAGAAGGAGCTGCTGGAGGAACTGTACGAGGATAAACTGAACAACCTGAAGGAGTCACTGACTGACTATTACCAGGAGGAGATCCAGGTTTGTTCAGGGCAATGAAATGACATTAGGAAAGTGGCAGTGGGTTGGGAGAGGACGTGGGGTACTTGGGTCCAGGAAGGTGACTTATGCAAACTGAATGGAAAGATTTTGCTTTTTGTGGTATTTTTTGTGATATTATTTGATAGCTTGATCTACAATTTTCGCTTTTCTACTGCTTTATGTAGTTCACTAGGCTTTCTAATTTTCAGCCCTTAATCTAGAAACTAATATGCAACTATTCTGACTCCTCTATTTGTTCAACATGATTCTCTCCCCCCTTACTCTTTTCACTAGTGCCTTGCTTTGCACTCTTCAGATTAACACAAGTTCTGTGAATTTCTCTTCTTAGTTGTGATGATGGGTATGGGCCTATCTACATTTTTCATGCTATGGCATTTGAGTGGCCTATGGGACTTGTTGCAGACATCTCTGAAGATGCCAACTCTGTAAAAAAGTGGTTTAGGCTCCCAGGAAATGGGTTCACTGTTCTCACTTAAAGGATATTAAAGGCTGGGTCCAACATGTGAAGTGTGTGATTGAGAAAGTCTCCCGGAAGAAAGACATTGAAAGTTTCAGAAAAGCTGTGTTAAGAAAATCTTGTTGAATATTTGAACAAACTTGCTTTCTAAGGAGCGTGATGAGAAGATTGAGGAGCTCCAAGCTGCTCTGCAGGAGGCAAAACAAAAATTGGAGAGTCTGGATACTAAGCAAAAGGACTCAGGGCAAGGCTTGCGTCGATCAAAGCGAGTGGCTACCTCATGTGGTCTGCAACAGGAGCTGGTAGATACCAAAGCCAAATTGGAGCAATGTCAAACGGAGTTAAATACCGCAACAGCAGGTAAGGTAGTGATGCTGCACTGGTTCTGAACTATGCCCGAACAATCCTTAGAGGGCTAGAGATACTTTTTTCAGTAGGGTACATTGGATTCAAACATCCTGAAACCACTATTCCTAGTTGTAGATGATAGGAATAATGAGCTGGATGGACAGGGTTTCACTTCATTTTCACATGAAAATGGACTTTGGGGCGGGATTATGTCCCTGTTCAGATTCTAAAGTCCCTTTGCGTAACTGAAAGGAAAGAAGCCTGGAAAGTTTGTGCATGTCTGCACAAACTCAAAGCTTTTCTCAGCTTGCCTGTGGCAGCTCGTCTCAAGGGAAGTCCTGACTTCAGAAAAACTGAAAGCTTATGAATGTACTCTTGCTCACCACTTTTTGTCTGTTCCTAGAGTTGCGCAAATACCAGAAATTACTGGAGCCGCCTCCCTCTGCCAAACCCATTACCGTGGATGTAGACAGGAAGCTGGAGGATGGCCAGAAGGTAACTCCATCTCTGTGTTACAGAAAGGAACACTTGCAGGGCAAGGTGGTTGCCAGTTTAAACAGTGTTTGGAGCTGCTGTTTCCAGGTTTTCAAACAAATGGTTGATGTTGAAATGGGTCTGTTGAAAACAAACCCTTACTAGAGATAGAAGGTTGTGGTATGTGCGATCCCTGTGTACATCACTCAGATGGGATCCTCCCTCAGTACCGCATGTCTGAATTACCCTGGAGTGGCTTTGTTTGCAGAGCAATATCAAAGCTAGCTGTTGTATTAAATCTTTCTCCTGTAGAATGTCAGATTGCTGCGTTCAGAATTACAAAAACTTGGGGAGTCTCTTCAGTCTGCAGAGAGGGCGTGCTGCCACAGTACAAGTGCAGGGAAACTTCGAGAAGCCCTCTGTATGTGTGATGACATTCTGGCTAGACAGGTAACGTGTCTGTTTTGTTGTGGGTTGCACAGGGGGATTTAGTCTATGCACTTTGCCATAATCACCAGAATAACCTAAGTTCTTGCAGCTGCAAATAAAAATGACTTATTCTCTAGACACATAATGTCTATTACATTAGGGGAGCTATATTGCCAATTTTTTCAATGGCTGAGTCAGACTGCATATTTAACTCTCCAAAGGAGACCCAAGTTGTTCCTGTTTGGTTAACTGACAGCCTGTGCTTAAAGTAGGAGAATTCAGAGTTCTCATTTCCTTATTCACTTCACTCTATCATAGTTGCTATGGCAGCATGCGTGCAGGAGGATGGATTCAGCTTTTTCCTAGCCTTATTGTTGCTATTTCGTTATTGAACTGCTACACTGTTGACAGTAGAAGTTTTTATGCACAGCCTTATTTAGCACACCAGTTAGTGAATTTTGGCAAAGGCAGTTTATCCTCTTCAGTTCATAGTAACCAGGGAGTTAGGCAACTTGTCATATCTTTATATATATTGCCTTCCCTTTCTCAGGACCAAACACTGGCAGAACTGCAGAACAACATGATGCTGGTAAAACTAGACCTGAGGAAGAAAGCAGCTTGTATTGCTGAACAGTACCACACTGTGCAGAAGCTCCAGGCTCCTCCAACATCTACCTTAAAGAAACGATTCTGTGCCAACAGGGAAAACTTACAACCTAATCAACCTCCTGGTAAAAAGCCCTTCCTGCACAACCTTCTGTCACGTTCAGCTACCCGTCCTGTTGCTGGCAGAGGGTGGCAACTTCGTTCAGTTGCTCTATGACTTTTCACAGAGATCCCTGCCCCACTATTACTGGAACAGGTGGCAAATCCGATATAATAGCATCTATTTTTCTTTGTGTGCTTGTTTATTGTTATTGTAGCTGCTTGAGAGCTTATGTAAACATTTTTTGATATGTATGGTTAAACTTTTAATCGATACCAAAGTGGACAAAATGGCCTTTTGTAATTTAAACACTACAACAAGGAAAGTCTTTAAATATAAAATAATGCAGATGATCAAAGTTGTTTAACAAAAGGACAAGTTAAAAGTGAGTTCTCATCTTCAACTATGTTGGCACATAATTCAAAAATAAGTTCGCAAGATCCTCCTTGAAAGATATTTTCCCTTCCTTGAATTATAATCCTTTATTAAAGTATACACGTTCTAGTTCAGGGCTGTTCTCTTGGATCTTGGCTTGCAATTCTGGCTCCAAGCGTGTTACAGACATAGAACTAAGCAAAAGAAACAGTAAAATGGTTACATATAACAAGCACTTGGATGTAAAATAAGACGGATGATGCATCTGGTTAAACTTCCTGGATTGTGAAAAGAGTTTTCAGATCTTTTTTTAACTTCTTATGAAGGAATCATGCTCACAGACCAGGGGCAAATGAAACCCCACTTAAAAGGCAATAAGATAGTCTACAGAGTCAAGAAATGGCTGTTGCTACTACCATGAGGGTAGAAATCTACTTAGTTGCTTGAGGTTGTTGCTGGCAATAGAAACTTACCTTCTCAGAGGTGTTTTTATGAAATATAATGTATTTGCCTATTTAACTTACTGCCTGATTTTATTCAGTTGAATAAAAAGTTTATTTTTATAAGAGTCATCTCACAGTAAAGCAAATTAAGCTGCCAGGTCATTTAAACAGCTGCAATTTCTTAAATACAGTTTAAGGCCTTATCTTCCTATGAAACAGAGAGCTCTGGTTAAAATCAAGAACTGTACCACCCTTGCTATGCTAGTTTGTAAAGTCATCTCCAGGTAGCCTAATGACACTCATTTACCACAATTCTCTATTCTATGCCAGGCAGGGAAACAGATGGTGTCAGACTGCTTTGTTGTACTCAAACAATTGCATCAGATGAGAATTAAGTATTGTTTTCTGGAAGTCAAAAGCTACTTTAGTTGCTCAAGATTTTAAAGGATTCAGCTCCAGCTTGCATCGTTTAAGCTATGTTTGGCAGCTTGTCAAGTTTAGACAACCACTAATACTATGAGAGGGACAGCTTAGGAATTTAAGACCCTGTTCATACCTACATACTGCAAATTAAGCTAACTTTATTTGTAGGTAACCCATCCAGGTTTCATTATGATTTCAGCTATAATGAATATTGTTTCTAAGACAGTTTTCAGTACTGAGGTATTTGTATTGATGCAAAATTCTTTCTGGAAAAATATTAATAAGCACGTATAGTCAAGTTCTGTATAACCAGAGGAGTTTCCAGCTGAAAATAAAATGGGCTCTGACTGTACTTAATGAAGCCATAACCTTACTGGACACGAATATATTGTTTGGACCACATTAGCTTTTTTAATGAATCATTCCAGTGATTCCTAGCCTTATTATCAAGCTCAAACTTCTCAGCTTGAAATAGCGTAGTTAAACTACTCACCTAAACCTCTCGTTCACTATCCCCCTATGTAGCTGCATCTCAAGCTGCTAGGAGTTTGTAAACAAATGAGCTGGATTCAACTATTTTATATTACCTGATGAGTAACATAGTTATTACTTTTCTGAATATTCTCATGTTTATCACACTTGTTATATGGGAATTAAGATTGTATGCTCTGGGAGGCAATGACCACTTGTTTCTGTCTTTTTGCAGTACCTTGCATGCATCTGGGAGTGTAACATTAAAGTGAGAATAACGTAACAGGAATACGTACCTTTTTTGAGGAAACAGTGCACAACACAGGGGTGTTGCAAACACAAGACTAGAGGAGACAAAAATGGGTTTACAATATTTAGGGTGCTAAAACAAAATTCAAAACCCTTGGGCATGGTCTTCTAGGCAGAAAGCTTTTTTTTTTGTATACAGTGAGGTAAAGTTCAATGGAGTGCTATGTAACCTTTATTTCTCACTGTGTTATACCTATGAAATAATTTACCTACTATGTAGTACTAAATGCATCAATACCATGCTTACAAATGTGTATAAAATTATCATTTATACATCCTTTCAGTGTTTTGCATTGGTGTGCACGACAACATAAAATGCTAGACAACAGCAAATGAAACTCTCCATTAACCAAATGTTTCGAGAATTCGTCAACCCTACAGGATTAGATTTCAATTATTGTTTATGGAGGTAGCAGCCAAAGCATCTTTTCTAATCAAGCTGCTACATGCTTTTTTTTGCCACTCCCTTTCTTTCTCCTTCCCCCTGCTTTTCTTGGCAGCTTCTTCATTACTAATGGTTTTTTTTTTAATACGGTATTATCAGTTACAGATATGGAAGTGAAGTAACTGCTGTAGCCTCATTAACTCCTCTCAACTTTTTTTCTTTAAACAAAGTGCAAATATTGCTACTTCCTCCAAAAAACCTAAAAGTATCTCTTAAAATAGCAGACACAAGCCAAAGAAATCACTTACCAGAATCCGACTAATCCAACTTGAATGGGAGCACTCATCCAAGGAAATCTCTGTTAAAAATAAACCGCACACAGTGAGTATGGTATCTTTTCTCCCCCCTCTTCCCACCTTCCTGGAATTCTTGTAAGAGACAGATTGCACCTAAAAGACTTGGACATGATGAAGGCAAAACAATTACCAGCATACCTTAAAGCTGAGTCCCAATTTGAGAGCCCAATCCCTTTGAAAGGTAATAAAATTCCCAGTGATATCAATGTACGCTGTTATCTGGCGTAAGTGTCCCTCAGAAACTACAACAGGTGGCTGACTGTTTTACTTATGACCTGATCCTGAGTACCTGGGCCATTTCTTTGAGTCACACAAGCCCGCAGCAGCTAGCAACACAGCCAGTGTTTGGAGCGGTACTGCAGGTGCAAGGTGCTGCCACACCTCCTAAGGGCACAGTGAATTTTGCCCAGGTATCCCTAAGAAGAGCTAGGTCTGGTTACGGCTCCTCTCTCTGCAGTGACATCAAATGGTTTTACCTTACAACTGGAGATTTACTTTGAGAGCAACAGCAACTGCAGCCACCAGCCATAAATAAGGGAGGTGTCAAGCAAAAGCGTATGTCTGCCTCTCATAGCCCTTTCTCCTGTCTTATGATTTGCTTTGATGTGTAGGAACTTGCCCCTGTAGGACAGTCCGGTACACTCCAGTTCTGCAAGAGTCCACCTTTTATTAAAGGGAAAAAGAGTAGAAGAATTGGGGAAACAAGGCTGAGAAAGTAACACGTAACCTATGGGTGCATTTTTAGCGTATTCCTCACTACTGTAACTTTTGCAGAACTTGAACATATGCCAAGAAATATGATAGTTTTCTTGTAGGCCTTTAAATGATTTAGGAATCCACTCCCCCACGTTAGAATTTTATTTGAAATTAATTACTTATGAAATAAAACCAGACCTGTTTAAATTACACTGCTGCAATGGGCTGTTGCTACAATAAAATCAGTGTCTCCAGTAAGTAGGACGTACACAACTGCTATGATAACAGGAAGTAGATTTTAAAACAAAACAGCTAATGAGTTAAAAATCACACATTACAGTGGATGGTGTTTTCAACAACGATGTTTTTTTTCTGTAAGAAGCATTTCTTAAGATGTAGAAGTTAAAGGGGAAACTGGTGAACAAAAGATGGGCACTATTTGAAAGCAGAAATAGAAAAAAGAAGTTTAGAAAGCTCGGTAGGACAAAGCTTGGTGCTAAGGAAGGTCACAGCAGCGTAAGAGGCATGGAAAACAAGCCTGTGTGGATTAAACTTTATCCAGAGCCTGAGGGAGAAGAAATGATGTAGCAGATTGCTTCTTTTTTCTTTTTTTTTTTTTTTTTTTCCCCTGGAGTCAATCTGTAATCCAGGAATGAGTGCAGGAAGAACTGTGCAATTCAGCAATAACCTGCAACAATAGATAACAAATGGAAAAAGACAGCAATAGCAAAAAGGATAAAGAGTGAATGCAGCAGTGCTCTGCTGTTCTGGCATTCCACTAAATAAATTCACCTTCAATTTGACTCTCAGCTGAAATAAATTCACTCAAAATGCTTTACATTTTATACATTGGGGGACAAGAGATGGCGTGACTGACAGGGGAAGGGATGTACGACTGTGGCATTGGTAAATATTACACGTATTTGGGAACACAAGTCAAACTCTGTACTGCCAATGACTTCAGTCTCTGAGGAGAATTAAGGGATAGGGATGCTATGCATTGCAGTGTGAGCACATAACAGAAAAGCCCCAAATATGATTTTATAACTGAAAAGACTGTTGGAGGGTGTCATGAAAGTAATAGATGGTTTCAGGCCTTTATCAGAGTTTGTCATTAATCTGAGAGAGAGAGGTGTCTACTAGTACACACAATATAAACAACCATCTATTTCACGTGGTGGAACATTTTTTGCCAAGGCACTTGACCTGAGTTACAGCCTTTATTTTTCAAGAATGTTACCAGGCTGCACTATTCAAGAAAGATGGTGAGGTAAAGCTCTAACACTGGAGGTCAATATTAAGAATTGGAGTTGCCCAGGGAACAATGTAAAACAATAAAGCAAAACTCAAATGCAGGCTCTACATCCTGCATAAAAGAGATGTAAATGGAGATAAAATGGAGAAGTACAAGACAGCAGAAGAATTTACTGTGTTAGAGAACTATCATTTAACTCTGGAAGAAGTTAAAATTGATGAATTAGGATTTAATTTCCAGATGTCTTTATGGCATCTTTAGTGGTTAGTACAAACGGAGAAAATGGAGAAATGATAATTAAGCAAACAAAAGCCATAAGGAGAATCAGCTTTTTTCTAACTGCTTCCTTTCATTATTGGATCTCAAAATCTGTCAGCTTTCCTAGGCTAGCTATGCCTGTTTTCAAAAAAAAGGATAATGAAAATGAAATGACAGTTAAATTAGGAATGCATGGAGGACTCTAAGGCATAAGACATTCAAGAATGATGCTTATAACAGTTTTGAACACGTATTTTAGTTGCAGCCTAAGAGACCCCAAGGAGCTTGTTTTAAGGATATATGAGGAAATTTCTGGAATCAACTTGAATGTTAATACAGTATGCAGGAGAGAAACAGTAGCTGAAGCTGTAAGCGTAGTAATATAAATTAAACATTCACTGTCGATTGGAATTTTCAGAAGTTTCTATGGAAAAAAAACTATTTCCTTCCTTAGGAGAAAGATTACCTGGAACTAAAATAAATCTATAAATGCTGCGCCTCAGAGCAAGGTTGCTTATGGATCCTCCTGCTGCAGCAGATAAAATAACTTGGTTCTGCACAGAGCTAGTCAAGTGTACGTCAGTAGGGATAATGAACATAGACATTATACAGCCTAATCAAGAACTACTACAGTGCATAATTGCATAAAAGGCAGCCAAAGCCACTCCTGAAACCTACAGCAAAAGCACATATATATAAAACAATATTTTTTCAAGTCAAGAAATAATTAGATTCTTTTTGAAGCAGTAAGTATGTGGTTTTGTTCTAAAAACATTCTTGAGTCATTTTCTAGCAATAACTGTTGGGAATATTGTTAATTCATACTAATGTTACCATCACAATGTCCTCGTGCAAAACATTAACAGAATATGGGGGACGAATAGTGCCATATAACCTACATCTTATTTCAAGTTTCAGAGGATGATAGCCTGCTATCACTGAGACCAGCATTCCAGAAGCATTTCTTTCTCTCTATCTTACTGCAGAACTTCATTCTATTTTCTTCATTATTTCACAACGATTTGACTATTTTCTGGCCTCGCGTGTTCCTTAATAGGCTTTGGAAGCATACAGGAATTATTTTCAAGAGTGATGGTGTACAAAGCAAAGGCTAAGGAAAATGAGTTAGTAAAGCATTGTGTGGATGGCGTTGGACTACTGCAAATGGGATGGTGCTTCTGAAACCTCAAGAGAGCATGCAGAAGCTGCTTGTTAAAAATACAGCTCATTCCTTAATGGTTTTAATACTAATCTCTACGACGTGTTACCACTGACTACCTGCAGAGCAGTGTTTCACCTGAACTCACAGTCTTTGAGGCTGAGGGGGAGGAACAGGTGAGCATAAACGGTCATGATGGTACCAAAGACCACTGAGTAGTCACTGAAGAAATCGCTCATGTTTGTGATCTGAAAAATTCACAACACCCTTATATTCATCATACCACACAAAAACAATAGATATTTGTCTCCAAACCCTGAGAATTGTTGCAACTTCTTCACAAATGTCATGTATTTGCCAGTTGAGTTCACTTGTGACATTTCTCCCACATCAAATACATATAAAATAATCTTTGCTCTAAATATATGAGGTTTGGTGTGGGTTTTTTTTTTTTCTAAACAAGGGTTAGTGTTCTGGGTAGTACATTCTCAAGAACATAACAGTACCACAAGCTGCTTAAAGCTACTCTGCAAATAGGGTATGGGTCAAAAAAAATCAGCAATTAAGAATTAGCCAAATCAGTATAGGGCTCTTCATACTGCAGCAAATAGTGTATTTGGATGCACTGCAGTCTCACTTCTTTCAGGAGATATAAGCAGCACACACTGACTTTCACTTTAAAACTCAAACGCCACATTTCCCATTTTTACATTCTGAACAATAGCGCTTTCTGCTAACAAGGCGGGGGGGAAAAGCAAAGCACTTCAGGAAAAAAAAGTTTTTAAAATTGGAAGACACTTGGGACCTCTTCCCAATGCTTCATTTATATTTACAGAAGCCCTTTCAAATGGTGTATGTAACTGGGTAATCTAACTCTGCACAAGAAAAATGAAGGGCAGAAATAATAAGAAATAGAATTTAAATATTTTAGAAAGCTTTATCTTAGACAAACAAAACCAGGCAACTTCCCCTGCTTGTCCTCCCAGTCCCCACCCAAACCACTTTTCCAAGGGAGGGTCTGGAAACTCAGACCACGCTTTCTTTTCCTAACTTTTTCTAACAGGAAGGAGACTATTGTTCCCAGCTTGTTGGGTGGGTTTCACAGGTGGAGACTTTGCCTAGAGCTATGCAAGTAAGTAAATCAGTAATATCAGCTGGTGAAGATGAAACTCCCTTTACCGGTAAAGAATTATAGAGTCCCTCATCTGAATATTATTTCTCTTGTGTTAGACAACCCTATAATTAACTTAATTATTGTCCTTTACCCTCCCATGCACACCACAGTGCATAATGTTGACTTAGTTTATATATTTACTCACACCAGGTGTTTGACTTCACACTACATTAGCATAAACAGAATATAGGAAATACGTAATCTTTGACGAAGCATGCCCATTCTATGCCTACCCTGCACTTGCTCATCCAGTAAATTTTAAAGGGTCATTTGCAAAAGAGATTTTTATCATCATTGCTATTTCCAAAGTCAAATTGCTATTTGCTATTCCAAAGTCAAATTTGCAGCTAAGCAAAGCCTTCTTATTGATATCCTGAGAAAAAAGCATTATAAAATTTTAAAATATTTTTCTGATAAACTGTGTTCCAAGTCTTGGTACAAGGAAGATTTATTTACTAGGAGGAACTCTGCATTTTAAGAACAATGATAAAAATAACAAAAGTTCATATTTTCTTAATGTTATTTATGGGATAAAAAGAACCAAACTATCTCTAAGAAAGGCATGAAGAAAGCAACAGCTGTAAAGCAAGCTCTACAGTGATGTCCTCCCAGAGTGGAGGCACATTTGGGAGGCAAATATGAAGACTCAGACTGTATTTTGAATTCATGAAAATATTAACTTAGGCTATGAAATAGATCTATGTAGATTATCTAAGACCAACCTTTAAAAAGGCTCTCTTTTCCAACGTATTCATTATGAAGGGAGGAATTGCTGCAAATGAAAAAAAGAAAAAGCATTAACCTTGGAGAAAAAGGCACTTGGTTTTCATTTTCTGTTAAGATGAACTAATACCATAATACAATTTTCACAGCCTTTTGTCATTAACTGAGCTTTCATTTCACATTGCCAATTCAAGATACTGGATTGATATTTACAGAGGTAAATAAATACTCCCAATAAGCAAAACTTCTAATTTCACACATAACTAATCCTGAGCTCAGTAACTTGGCACTGGTCAAAGCACCTGCTTTTCACTAAACTAATTCCACTCAAGCAGAATTTGCTACTATTCCTTTGCTATCTATCTGTTTCTTTTCCGCAAAAGCATCCCAGGAGCTTTTCTGCTGCACTTCAGTGTAACACACTGCGGATGTTTTCACAGTAAGAAATGTACATTTTTTTGTGGAACTTCTTAACAGAAATGTAAACACTGCCTGGATAACTGTAAGATAATTTGGCCGCTGAGAAAAATCACTTATATAGAGTTTAAGCTCTCTCTCACATTAGGAACTGATAATCAGGAGCTGCACATGACTGCAGTTATTCTTACCCATGCCAGGAGCAGCCATAAGAATTCTTGATATAACCACCTGGGTAATTGCCTGCTCAGCTGCTTTTGTTGATTCACCCAGTCTGTTTCCGTTCTCATCCGTGACGGGGATTCCAAACTTGAGTTCCCTGTTGAATAAGGGGTAAAAATAAAGCAGTGACTTACACGCATTTGTTCACCTTTTTTGTCACTTTATCTTTGTCCCCTTAAAATTGTAATTTGTAAGAATTATGGTTTTTATTTTATTTTCCAAGTTATCCTGTTTGTAACACTCTTTGGCACAAAAATTTCAAATGGCAGAGAACGATCTGGGGAAAAATATGCTGAAAAGTAAACAACTGAATATTTGTAACAACAATCTGCCGCTTGAGCCTGGTCACATGCATTCCAAGGGGGAAGAAAGGAGATGTGTTATTTCTGTAGTCCACTGAAGGGAGAGGTTCCTTCAAAAAGTAATTCAGAAAAGTGGAATTTTCTGGACTGCTCAGGAAGTAGCCTGTCCTTTCCAACAGACAACACAGGGAAAACAGGAAGATTAGTTTCACTGAACTAAACCAGAATTTTTTGTGAAAATCCCTCTCTGGCATTCTAGTCTGAGTTTTCATTTCAACCACTAAGAACATAATCGAAAGTATAAAAGGATGCACAAAACAAACTACATTTCTGTAACTGTATTATTCTCTATTAGATCTTTTGCTCAAGTGCAGGGTTAGGTGTTAAACTCACATTCTGGGGAGAACTTCTAGGGGACTGAGAATCAGACAGAAGGGCAGATATACTGAGGACTGCCTTTATTCTTCTCCTCATCTTTTATAAGAGATAAAATACTACCATGGATTGAATTTCATTGTAAATACAAACTTTAAATATTCCCTTTTCTGCCCATAACCTTGTGTTTATAAGAGGACGCTTTTCGTTTGATTTTCCCCACTTCTATTCTTAGTCCTAGTCAAATCAAATTTTGTTTCTGAGAAAGTGTGTATTTTTGTAATCTCAGATAATTAAACAGAACTTCAGAGCCTGACTTCTATGACTAACTTCTGCATGTGGGATTTGAAGCACCATTTTTGAAATGACTGTATTTTTCCGAAGTGGAGTTTGTATTTAAGGGGTCCACGTGATCAAGTTTTGAAGGACTGGTACTTGGTTTCTGAGATCTAAGACTGAAGAACTCCATGGATATTTAACTGAAGAGAGTGAGGATGTTCTATTTTATACCTGTCACAATCAATCAATCAAAACAAGATCATGCATGAAGTTTTTGCAACATTCTGAAACAAGCTAAAGATATATAACGTGCTTTATATAGTAACTTGCTGATCTAAAAACTCAGTAACATCCTTTCTTCTAGAATGAGTGATCTTTGTTCTTTTTCCTACCTTTGTCTCATTAGTGGAATATTAATGCAGTTAGCAGCAGCAACAGCAGCAAAAGGAACAAACCGTCCTATAAGAGGTGAGACGTGCTGTAAAAACACAAAGGGAAAAAAAAAAGAAAGAAAAAAAGAAAAGGAAAAAAAAATTACATAATCATTTTCTTTCCCAAAGGTCGTATTAAAATGCTTCATGTGCTAATGATAGACCTGACTTGTTTCTTTTAAATTAAAATTCAGAGGAACACTCACTGGTGGGGCAGAGGTAAAACAACAAACAAACAAGACATAAGTCATAAATTCTTCTCTCAGAGTGAGCAGTGGCAGGAGACTGGCAAAGACAATCTTAATTTAGTAGCATCACTGCAGAGAAGTGTCAGCTTCTGAGCATGCCTGTCAGCTCAACGGCAACACTAAACAGACCTTAACTTTACTGTCTCTGCTGGCAAGGTCACAGCTAGCAACATCCATACCAGCTGCTTTGCATCTAAGGGCACTGACTGTGGAGGCTATTCATCTAGTCAATGCCTTGTATAATCTGAATTACTCTGCTTAGAATAGTCTCTCAAATAACTTGTCAATGCTATACCACTCCCAGTACATTAAAGCATAAGCAGAGGGGTAGAAAACAGATTTTTGCTGTTGTGGTTTTTTTTTTTTTTTGTAAAGGACCTTTTTTTCTTGATTGTGTTGTGCACTTGTTTAAAGAATTTGAGTTTTCTGCATTTAAGAGCGGCACCTCCTTACAAGTTCTTCAGCCAGTCTAGAGCAGGCGTCCATGTTTGTAGAAGTGATACTGCACCTTAAAAAAACACCTATACAGTTTATGGGATCATGAGTCTACATCGTTGTAATTACACATCCACTCCAATTAACTTTCAAATGCTATTAGATACTTTGGCATATAAAAAAGAAACTGCAAAAAAGGCACCTTATTAGATACAGTTTGTATTAACAAAACACAAGGCTGTTTGATATACGTATAAGGAGGACAGGCTGTTTGAAGTACATATAAAATCATCTACATGGGGCAAAAATAAGGTTGGGATCTAAAGAAGGGAGCTGCCAACGGCCATTACAACTCCATACTGGGAGCTGTGCATAACATGACACAGCTACACAGGATGAGAAATGAGCTGTTAACATCTCACAGAACATCAAAGTCTAGTTAAGAATGGAAAAAAATAGCAGCAATACCTTTGTTAATGCATTAAGTCCTAAAGCTGTTGCGACAGCACCCGTGGTAGCAGAAACATAGGCTGTTCCCAGCTGGCTAAAACAAAAATAAAAGCGTTTGCACATGCACAACAACTATATTTATGTCACTTTTAAAAATAATTACATTTTACACAGGTAGTTATGCCCCCCCCAAAGTTAAGAAGTAGACCTTTCTGTGACATCGCAATAAGATGTAGATGGAAGATTCAAACGGGATGCCAAATTAAACACTTTTCTTTCACTAGCAGTAAAAATCACATGCAAGCAACATTTTAACATTGAATCAGGTTCTGCTGGTTCTGCATTGCTATCTGTTCAGCTATTTTCTCATGTGTCTGAATGAACACCTTGAAGGACTTAGTTCTGTATTTAATTTCCTAATTGCTTAAACTAATAAAATCAGTTTGGATTTCTAAGGCCATGTCTACAATAGTAATTAAAATCAACTGTGCCGAAACCCATACACGCAGACCAGCTATGCTGCAAACACCCAAATCCAACCCAATCTGCCCTAAAACATACTTTATATACTTTCCAGCTAGGAGATGTCTGTATATCCTTGAATCCACTGCTTTCTTCTGGACATCTATAAGCAAGTCAGCCTCAAAACCAGGAAGTCAAGCACTGCGATTCCAGTCTCCTATTCATGATTTCTAGCTTTCTGCATCTACTTAGTCTCCCTCTTTGCCTTCAAGTAGAAAATAGTACTGTGCAGACCAGTTCCTTGAAGCGTCCTCTTTTTGTAAATATGCACATGGTGTGGTGTGTGCTATACTGCAGGGCACTGAGAAGATGACACAGAGAGACACCTGAAGGTCCACACAAAATATCAACTTAGAAATATCCTGGTATAACACCAAACTGATGAGGCACTTTCAAATGGTTGACCGAGCAATGCAACACAGACTCCTATTAAATCCTACGCTGTTAAGTGCTTATGATCAAGGTGCTTAGGCTTATCTTTAATGGCAGAAATGGAGTTCTCCCCTCCATCATTCTCAGACTTCTCGTCTGTGCATATCAAATTAATAATAAGCATAGATGAAAAAACTTATCCCTCTATCACCTCAAACTTTAAAGCCCAATCATGTTCCAGTACATCAGAGATCAATTTATAAACCCATCAGAGGTATCTGGCTCAGTGTCTGACCTGACAGTAATTGGGGCATCACCGCTCCTGTTCGTGTAATTTACTATAGCATTGAAGGACTGGTTAATCCATTGCCAGAAAACCACGGCTGGTGTCGTTCTTGAAAAGAGAAACAATTACTATTATTAAAAATAGAGTTGAATCAACAATACAGAAAAATGATAGCAAATCAAGAAAAGCAAGGGCAAGCAGTAATCATGCAGAGGTTTTTGTTTACCTGAACGAAAAAATACAGTCAATGAGATACTGTCTTAATAATGAAAGCACAAGCTACTTCTAAGAATAGAATTTAAAAGCATTGTAATTAAATAGCAGGGTTCACTTGGGACAAAGGTTTGTTGTAATAGCAAAAGCATTATAGCAAACATCTCTATTAAAAACACACAGAGAAATATGAAACTCTCTAATTTCTAGAATACTTTTCCAGGGTTATTATTCCTTTACAGTCTGCTAGTTCTCTTAGGAAGCTCCACGAGTGCCTGAGAGGTGGAATTTAGGAGACAGGGTTTATCTTCTCATTCTTCAAAAAGCTAATATGATGCCATTGTTTTAATAAATCCCTGTGACACTAAAACATTCAGTTGCATGTAGAACCAGATAAAAAGACACTTAACTCCAAAAAGAAAAATTATTTTCATGAAAGTATCTGCACCTTTAAGAAGTACAGGTATAGCACAGAAATGAATCTGGTTCAGTACAGCATGAATCAGATGAACAGTCATCCAAAAAAAAAAAAAAAAAAAAAGAGCTCCAAGGAATCCTCATAAATTACGTCAGTGCCAGTATTCAGATGCCTTAGGACAAAAAAGTATTAACTTGTGAGCACGGGTCGGGGGCAGTGAAAAAAATATATTCTGTACAAGTCACAGAGTCCCCATTTAACAAGCTAATGTGGTCCCTGTTAAACTGCAGATATAATCATTTTACAAATGGTTATGCTGATAATTAACAACAGTGACAGTCAATTTGTTTCACAATGTATGGGGCTGACTTGTGGAGGGATGAATGCTTTTGCTCCCAAACCAGTAGTATACTTAAACAATGAGACAAACTTATGAAGAAGAAATCCACTAAGGACCTCTGGATCAGGAAGTTCCTGATCCACAAATAGTTGGAGGCCAGGAGAGTATACCAGGGGAAAAGTGTTTCTTGGTGTGCTTTGTCTCCGCTGCCCCCGGTGGAGAAACCACTGAAGATTCTGCTCCACCAGAATTTCAGTCAGGCCACCAAAAATAACAGTTGCTAATGAAAACTATTTCCCGATCATTAAAATAACTTTTCATAGGACTTTAAAGCTTATACTTAATTAAATTATTTAATAACACAGGCAGTAATGGTAAGAGGAATGTGGTTCTCATTGGAGGGCTGATATGGAAATTAAGAGCGCTAAAGAAAAAGCAGTGGTTGTACCAATTATTCCATAAAGGTGGGAAAGCAAAGAGGAGATGCTAGAGTAGAAGGTGTGTGTCTATCATGAGACTTTGGTTCTGAAATGGGAAGATACTTCTTTAAATTGCAAAAAATTGAAAGATTCAGGAGATTTGAAAGTGTATTCTTACTCCCTCTGGTTTCCAGTATCTGAATGAGATGCCAAAGTAACAGTGGTAAACTAGCTGGATTTTTTCCATCACTACTGCTGTTCTTCCTCCTTTCTTCCTGTGCATGTGCAACTTTCTCTCCTGACTCATCTTTTCCTGCTTCCTTGCTACTGCTATGTAAAGGATGTCAGGCTAGCTGTGAAGTTCAGGCATGACTCACATTGCCTAACTGCATGCCCAAGAGCCCTCACAGATGTAACAGCTTCTTCCAGTGACGTGCAGTAGGATGGACGCTACATTGCACCATCCAAGGACTTCTACACAATCCTGTTTACACTGCTGAGGGTTTGGTTCAAAGAAATCAATGTCTTCCAGACTAACAAACCACCTAGTTTCGATCTAAGTGACTCTACCAATAACGCAAAGAAAAGGTTTATAGCTGCTCTAAGTATTATAGATAATAACAGAACATGCATAAAAGAATAACCAGTTAACAGGAAGCAGTGCTCATGAATGGGCAGCTGTACTGATGGTTTTATTCATATCTTGACTGTTTTTTAAACACACACGTATATATGCACCATTCAAAACGGCTGTGCCTTTCTGGAGTGTGAGTCAAGAATTTGTAAAATCTCAGCATCAAAAATGCTATCGTTATTTCCTCTGAACCTCCCGCCAGTTCTTGCTAACAAAGCATTGTGTCACAAAAATATTTCTAACATGGAGTCTAGTAACAGATGATATCGGCTTCTGCTGCGGACTTCACTGTATTGGTGATTCAAGAACCTCTGAGGAAATGGAAGGATCAAAGAGGAGCTGGAGAAACTTGATGACTGATGGACTGAAGCATATTGAGTACTCACTTGGCAGACAGAACATCCTACATGCCAGATCGCTAAGGTTAGAAATTCCCAGGTATCTCCTCCTCTTTGTCCTCCACACAACTCTCCTACAAGGATGGGATTTTGGAACATTCAACTTTCCCAGTTTGAGGAAAAGTGGGATGGTGAAGGAGAGGGGCTAAGGGCTTATCTCACAACTACTTCCAGAGGAAACCATTAATCAGTGTAAGGGAATGAAGAGAGAGAGAATAGAAAAGGAAGCAAAATTTTACATTTTAAAATATATATTATAAATCTTCTAAAACGCTCTTTTGACAATAACATTGATTTTCACTTATGTAATTTGTAGGCAAATGTTTTATGTGTTATATTGCCATCACTTACCTATAAAAGGTCATCATACAACCTGTGATAGTCATGTTCATGGGTACCTGAGCTGACATTCGGCCAATCAAGACCATCTTTTCACCAGTGTCTGGGTGAAAGGCTGAATCATAGATATATTTTGCTCTCCACAAGTCATCTTCTGTCAAGCCAGGTGCCACGATACCTTGTCTGGGACAAGTTAAAAAACAAAACAAGACAACAGTAAAAAGCACAACATAAAATGCTGCAAGCTCCAGTGACAAATGTGGCATCAGAGGATTTTGGGATGTTCATACTAAGTTAATCTAGCCTCATAGTTAGCTTGTAGATCTTCAGCTTTTAAATGGACTGGTGAAATAAAAAGAATCAAAACTCCCAGCAGTGGTTATGTTGGCTGAGTTGATATATCCAGCACCAAATTTCTATCTACTCAAACCTGTACTAGATTTTAGAGTGAAAAATGTAGAGCTAAAATCTCTGCAGTCATTAGCATGAAACTCTGAAAATACTTTGCAAGTATTTAAGAAACTACTTGCTTCAAACAATACAACACATAAGAGGAAGTTTTAAATTCTGTTGTCATATTAACTACTTTCAGAATTAGACACTTCTGTATTTCAGAATACTTAATAGGGGTTCTCAGATGACGTAACTTCCCCATTCATTAGCAAATTTGTTTAAAAAAAAAAGTGTTTCAAGCTCTGAAATAAGGAGAAAGAGTGGTACAATGAATACAGTGTTTTAAATATTTCTTTTTAAATATATAACCATGTACTTATCATTGACATGGGACTTTTCTGGGCCAGCAGTAAAAGTGATCAATGCCATACCTGTAATCATGCACAATTTTTCTTGCATTTTCCAGTTGGGTATCAGATAACAAAATATTCCGGGGGTCTGTTACAGTAAAGAAGTGACTGGCTCGTCCAACAAAAGTGCTTTGATCCCATCGGGGCTCCTTGATATTAATATTTAACGGTATATCTGCTGACATCTTCAAAAACTCTGTGAAGAAAACATGAAAATTTGCAATTCAGAATTCCACTTATTTCATAATGTATCTATAACCTGCAAGATGAAAAGTGGTTATGTTTAGAGTAAAAAAACAGAGAGCAAACACCAAACAACTTGCAGAACTGAGGTTTAAAGGGGCAAGTATATATCCAGAAAGCAAATGATGTCAGATATCATCATGGGTTTTAACGAGGTTGGTATTGATAGAAGTAAAAAAGCAAGAACTTAGCTAAATGTCTACAGAAACGTTTCTGTGCCTGTTTCCCCAAGACATTTATATATTACGTCTTCGTAAGAGTACGAGTATCTGATTATGAGATAGAGGTACATCATATACAAATATCTGATGATGAGGCAGATGCAAAGAAAGTACAGAAATTTATTAATAAATAGCTGTACTAAATAACAATATAGTAATCAGAAGTGTGCTTTATTTCAATGAATTAGTGTTTGCTGAAAATATTGTCTCGAAGGGAAGGAGAGATTAAATATTTCAAGAGATGCCTGAAGACCTGCTATAAAGTGCAGTGACAGAAGAAATATTTAATAAAATCCAGTTAAGTTCTCTGGCGTAATGTTGTTTCTCTAAATCCATGTTTTAACAAAACAAAGATTATATAATGCAACAATTTGCCACATTATGAACACATGACTAGATCTCCTAATGATACTTCGAAGATGGTTAAAGAACTACAATGAAGGGCACTGAACTAACATAGTTGGGCATTTATAGGGCCTACAGCCCAGAAAATTAAAAATTACTTCAGGATGACTAAGTTTACTTCAACATCTAACAAAAGAAGGACAGTCCCTGCATAGCACAAGCTATATGAACTTTAACTTTCTTAAGAGAAATTTAATAGCCAGTTAAAAAAAAAAAAAGCCATCCTCCAAATAATGCTTGTAATTCAAATGGCTGAAGTGAATTGGATCTATAAAAATACAGATGATATCACATAGCATTTTACCTGTTTTAATAGGAAAAACATCATCATTGTGAGGGCAACCTATACATATGGTGTAAGATGCCACTGAAGAGTATTTTCATCTTAACTCAAGAACGCCATGAAGTTGTCTGAGACATTTTGGTCAATTTGATGAAACTTGTATGATGTAGAACAGAAAAAAAAATCACAATAAAGAAAGTAACTGATCATGTAAAGTGTCTCCATCATAAAAAAACCGTGAACTTCATGGGAAAAAAGGAGACACCATTCATGAAATCTGAAGAAGCTATTGTCCATCTCTCAAATGTAATTACGATCCTTCTTCTCTACCTCAAGTGGAAAAACTTGGAAGTCTTTGGGAAAGTAAACTTCTACAGAAATAAAGGCTTAAGTCTCCCCATCTATCATAACCAGCCCTAAATCGGCAGCTTTAAGCAACACGAAGAAGGAGGAAACTAATAAATATTTAGAAGACACTATAAAGCAGCATTTCCAGCAAAAAAAAAAACAAACCACCAAACCCCCCAAAAATTTTGTTCTTGAAAGTGAGCTAAATCAGCTTATAGTAGTACAAGAAGGAGATTATACATCTTTGTAACAGCTCTCACAGGAACCATGAAATCAACTTTTTAGGCAGATGAGGACTGTGTAAAAATTATTCTGCCTTGAACCACTTATCAGTCAGAATTGCTCTTTGAGTGGGAATTATTCAGGGAAAAGACTGTCTTCCCTGCGTTTACCCAGACTTAGCATTTTTATGCTTATGTAATAGCACAAGCATAACTCTTATTTAGGACTTCTGTGGTTATTATTACTGTGATTTAATGACAATGAAAACCTAGTGGCCACATACTATTTTATGGTGTACCGTACAAACATTATGGGAAATATTTGATTTTCTGATATATCATCTGCCAGAAAGAACCGCCGATGACATCCAGACTGCTCAGATTCTTCCAAGGTTACACGTGCTCATGAAGTCAATAGAAATTGTGTATGCATAAGCGTGATGGCACTGAGCACCAGACATGATTGTAAAGCTGTAAAGATAAGGTTGTGTTATACATGAAGATAAGCAATGTTTAAAGAGGATTTGGCAAGTACATCCTATTCAGCACTGCTGAATATTCGAGGCGAAGTCCCACATGTGGTGACAAAGAAAGCAAAGGAACCTACTGTTAGTACACCAAACTTTGAGAACCCAGAATGGATTAAATAAATAATAATGAAGGGTTGTTCTTCACAATCACAGCATGATTAACAGCTGAATGATGAAAATGTCATAGCTCAGCTAGTATTACTAAATAAGTTTGTTAAAAGATCTCTGCTTTCCACCAGACTCAAGCTCTTCCTTGAACAAATAATCTCCAATTCCATAGAACAGATCTTATTATTGAATTTTACACAAAGTAAATCAATTTGGTTAAAAATCACACAAAAATTGTAACTACACAGATATTTCTGTGTCCTGCTCTCTAAATTTTCCTGACATCGGGAGAAACTCAGAGCTGTACCGGCAAAGCAAAGCTGTTTGCCTTTGCAATGTAGAGAGCAATTGTGTAAAACTAAGCTGTGTTTCTACAGATACTGCTGAATTCTGGATAATCATGAACTGACAGCACAGGCTGCAGGTAGGACACCAGTAGGATTGCTTTTGCTTTTTGCCGATAAACTGCATTAAGAACTTAAATGCTCAATTAATCCTTTCCAGCCAAGTTCAAAATTCCCAGTTTCTACTCCAAGTCATCACATGCGAGGTTGTTTCAAAGACTCCCAAATCAGTATAAGCTCTCACAGCTTTTATTGCAATAATTAACACCCCCAGCTATTTGACAAAAGCATAAATCATTCTGAATGATTTATAAAGGAAAATATACTGAAGTACCCCCAGAAAATGGTACTGCTAAAAACACGTGATCATCTGAAATCACAAGGCCAGGGTTTTCTATACCTCTCTCCACCCAATACAGCGCTCTTTCTGTACTAATACGTGAAACCAGAACAAATGATGAAATAAAGCCAGTTTCTAGTAACAAAAATGAAGACCTTCTTAGACCAGCACCGACCTTACTGAGAACTTAGCACACAGAGCTGGATTTACCCCTTTCTCAAGAGTTAAAAAGCTCTGTTCACTTGGCACTGACCTCAAGCAGCAGCTCTGAACCCCTGGGTACAATGAAGACTCCCGTCGCATAGTGTCTTCTTTCCCATCAGGTGTATACGACATGGAACATGAGCTATTTGCTGCAGTAAGTTATTGCATAATTTTAGTTTAATACATTAAAATGGTACTGTGAGGTGCAACAGAAGAATATGCTGATTGTATTTGGTAGATGTTATGAATATTTAAAAGCTATTCGCTCTATAGTGTTTTACCTGTTAAGGAGGTGATCCACTACTGCATAGAAATAGCTGTCAAATATGTGTTTCAATGATTAAAATGAACATTGATAAATTTAAATTTATTTAATATTATTACATCCAACCTATTAAATACACTTTCTTCTTCTTTCACTACATCATTTTTCTCTAGTGGCATTCAGTTTTTCTCTGGTACGAGAGACCTCAAGAAAAACATATTGTTCCAAAGACCTGTTCATGTATTAAAATTTGCAGTCATTAACTCAAATAAGTAAGCAACTACACAAGGAGCATCAGCATTGCTGCTCCAACTTACAGTAAATATAGTTGTGATTCAACTACCGTCAGATCTTAAAGTTTCACCATCAAGTTAGGGAAGGTCCTAAAGCTTCCCAGGAGACTAGAAGGCTAATAAATGTGGTATAGTAGGGGAAACTAATCTCTTCCCCCTTCTTCCACTCCCATTTCCCTCACTGTTAAGTTCATTATGGTATGGCAGCTTTTTTTAAGGGTTTTACTATATGCTGAGACAGGATTTCCCCCCAGGGAAAAAATAAAACTTACAAACTTCAAGAAAATAAGGTGCTGTAGCAATATATCATTTACTAAGCTAACCTTGAAGCATGAAGGCATTTGTATCAGAATTATAAATAACTGACATTAGACCAGTGAAATCTAAGACCACTTCTTTTCGCAGCTTACTCCAACGACATTTAGAGGTGTTACCAGCTTTTCAGCACTGTTAAGTCCTTCTCCCCAAACACAGGTAAAACAAACAGACAATTAAATAACGTAACTTGGCTCAAGACCACAGGTCAAGTCACAAATAACAGCAGAACCTAGACCTCCTGACCTGTGCTCTAAGTACTGCTGATATGGCAAGACACAAGTTATTATTTCACAAAAGTAATGATGAGAGATGGAAAGGCGCTGGGTAAGAAGCAGAGAATTCATCCCTCACTTCCAGTTTAATATTCTTGTCTTTCTATTCCTGTTTGCTGTAAGTACTTCCACAGTTCTAAAACAGTTTAAAACACCACAATGTGGAGGCACCTGTGAATTAGGATTATTTTCATGTGATACATTTCTCACCAGGCATGTCGCAGAATGAACACAGACCATGGAAATGAAAAAAGACTCAGGACAGATTTGCAGAACAGAGTTCTCATGCAGAGTGTCTGAATAGGAGATGCTCCCTAGGTTTCTTTTCCCTTTCTCAGTTCTATACCATTAAAGACACCCTCCCGTGAACAGTGATACATTGTGAAAAACCAGACCATCTTCTGGTCTAAAATGATAACTGCTGGTTTTGCAAAGCAGTATCCTATGAAAGCAGGGTGAACTCATCTATTCAAAAATTATTTTCCACTAAAAAAAAATTCTGTACATTAGGGCTGGTAAGTTGTTCTATGAATGCTTTCCTATTGGTATATTATTTGTAGGAAAGTCCAAGTTTCAGTATTTTTGTAATTAAATTATCAGTTTCATTAAGAAAGATTAAAAAATGCTTAGGATAGCTTATGTTAATCTGTTTAAAGCTGTCTAATGAATCCTTAATAAAGCAGTCCATAAATAGAAGCTCCTTTCTTTCTTTTCACTTTGATTAGCATATATACTACCAGGTTTTCTGTGAATTGTTTTTATATACTTATGATACCTCTGTCCACAAAACCAAGTCCTTTA